GCCGACGGAGACGGCCTCGACTTACTCCTCTTAGGCGGCGGCGCACTCGAAGAACCCTTCTCGTACCTCTTTCCCCCGAATCCAAAACTCTTCCCGCTCGGCCCGGTGCTGGCCGCGGGTCGCGGGTCTTTCGTCGCTCGATCCTCCTTCTTGGTTGCCTGCAGATCGTCCAAGCTCTTTTCCGTCTTCACAATCAAATCATACGCCGCATTAAAATCTGTCGTCGTGATCAGCGCGGCGTACGGCCTTAAGTCCGGCCATAGCTTCTTGACGAACTCATTCAAACGATCCTCCGGAGTGGAGACCAGACTCGTCGCATACTAGGACAGGTAGTCGAACCTCTGTCTCAGTTCAGGCAGTGACATCCCCTCTTGCTTAAGCGCAACGAACTCATCGCGCCTCTCCTCGCGGTACCGGGTGGGGACGTACTCCTTCGTGAAGGCTCGATCAAAGCGATCCCAGGTCCATGGCTTGGGCGTATGTGGATCCTGGTCAATGCGCTTCCACCAATCATATGCTCCCTTCCGGAACATCTGTGACGCCAACTCCGAGCGATCAGCATCTGGGACTCTCAAATTCTTGAGTACCCGGTCCATCTGCTTAAGCCAATCCAATGCAATCTGGGGCTCCCCCATCTTGTCTCCTCGAAACTCTTCCGCTCCGTTATCCTTCAACGTCTTGAAGGTAACGATGCGCGGCTGCGGCTGTGGTGGTGGTGGTGGCTGGAACATGGGCATAAGCTGCGCCATGTGCTGCATATAATGGGCCATCATGGCCGGGAACATCTGCTCGTAGGCCACCGGCGGTAACGCCAACGGTGGCATCACTGGAGGTGGTACAACTGGCGGTGGTACAGCTGGTGGCTGTCCCGCTGGCTCAGGTTGATTCTGTTGTTGCCCTCCGTCACCCGGAGGCGTGAAACTCGAACCCTCGGTGTTCACCGTGTGCACGCTCACATGCTCCGGCTCCGGAACGTACTGACCATGAGTCGATTCTTGACTCATTCTAAAATAATAAGGAAATTCCCAAGTCATATCTTAACATATAACAGATAAAGCTATAAATACTTATTACCTTCCCGGGGCAGAGGAGTTACGTGAGATGCAGATGCGGCTGAATTATTCATTGTATTTTATTTTGAAAGGGTCCAAAGACCGATTTTAAAACCAAATGCTCCGATACCAAAATGTAACACCCCAACCCGCATGACCCAAACCCGTGAGACAGCGCACGCCGGCGGCTGGCTGCTCCAATTGGACGGCGACGAGGAGCGGCGGCTACTAGCGAAGGACACAGCGGCGGCGACCGGCTGGGAAAGGGCGACCGGCGGCGCTGCAATTGGGCGGCGATCGAGGGACGACTGGCGGCTGTCTGTTGAAGACGAAGAAGAAAGAAGAAGAAGAAGAAGAAGAAGAAGAAGAAGAAGAAGAACGAAGAAGAAGAAGAAGAAGAAGGAGAGGGAGAAGATAACGATCGAGTGGTAGATAATAGGTTTAGGTTTATTTAATGGTCCCATTCCAAAAAGGATTGGGCTTCGGACCCAAAATACCTGATTAAATGGTCATAACATGAGCTCCGTAACTCCGATTCGCGAGCCGTCTGAACCGACGCGATCACAAAAATATTTCCTACGAGATGACATAAAAGTTGGGCTTAAAATCCAAATTATAATTTTAACCCCTTTTTAGGCCCAATTCGTAATCAATTGCTCTAACAATTTAATTAATTCTTTTGGGCCAGATTTCGGGGCGTTACATGTTGACTCTAACAATGAAATGTCTAAAATACCCTTACAGATATCACCAATTCTCCATCCCTGCCCCAGCCCATTGCAGCGCATCACAGTCATTGCCCAGCCCACAGCCGCCCACCACCATGTCTGCCCAACCCACCGCCGCCCACCGCCGCCCACCGCCATGTCTGCCCAGCCCACCGCCGCCCCACGAGAAGAAAAAGATCTAGTACAGATCTATTGGATCTAGCTCCCACGATCATTGTCTGCTTCACAATTTCAGCTAGCCCTACAGATCTAACACAGATCTAGAAGAAGAAGAGAAAAGAGGGACAAAGGTGATATTTGAGGGAAGACGAAAGAAATAGAAGGAGGTTGAAGATGAGAAGAAGAAGAAAACGAAGGAGAAGGAGAAAGAGACAGAGAGAGAGATATGAAAAAAGAGAGGAAGAAACGAAGGAGAAGAAGTGAAGAACAAAACAAACCAGGAGAAAGAAAAAGAAGGGGAGGGGGAAGAGAGAAAGAATAATAGAGAAGAAAATACTCCGTAGAAAAGATGGGGGAGGGAGTGGTTGAACCGTGTGAGAGAAATGAAAAGAGTAGGGGTGATTGAGTAGAAGAAATGGAGGAAAAGAAAAAAGGGTATTTTTGGAAGAGTGTTGATAAAAAGGTAGACTGGGAACTTTATTTACGGACGAAAAAAAGCGTAGACTGGGAACTTAAAATCCGGACGGAGGGAGTATTATATTTATTTTGTATTAAATATTACTCCCTCCGTCCGCCTAAGATGTTCTCATTTTGACTTTTGGTGGTTTTTAAGGAGAGTTGAAAAAAGGTGAAAGTTTACCATAATACCCTTAATGAAAAATGGGTGGAGTGTATTAAATGAGGTGGGTGGGGTGTAATAAATAAAGTAAGTGGGGGTAGTTGTGGTATTTTACTTGTTAAAAAATGAAATGAGAAGA